CCTAGGACACCCCCCTCCCCGCCAGTCCCCCTTCCCTCCAGTCAGTACCCCCTCCCCCTGCCCAGAAATCCCGGTCAGTCCTCCCTCCGCCAATCCGGGAATCCCCGGGCGGTAGGGCCAAACCCAGCGGTCACCAAGCACCCCCTCCGGTCCCCCTACCCCGGTAATCTCCGCGCGCTCACCCGGGCCGTCGGCGGCGGCGCTCTGCCAGCGCGGCAGCAGATCGGCGCGGGGTAGCTGCTCCAGCACCTGGACGAGGACGCGCTTGGCGGCGGCCGGTGGGTAGTACTGCTTGGCGAGGAGCCTGGCCAGCCCCGACGGGCTGCGGCCCTCCAGCTCCAGCTTCACCTGGCTCACGCGCGGCTCCACCTTCTTGAGGTGGTCGCGGAAGCTGCGCAGCTCCTGCGAGGACAGAAGGTCCAGGGTCTCCTGCAAGCGGCTCTGCAGCTCCTCCATGGCCGGCGGGATCTTCGGAGGCGCCCGCGAACTGTCGGACCCCGAGCGCCAGCCGATTCCCGGGCTCCCCTCCATTGTCACCCAATGATGCTGAAGCGACCGGGCAGGAGGGACCAATCTGAGCCCTGCGCGCCTCACACGCCTCCCGCTTCTCCTCTTTGTTTTGAAAACTGGAGGCGTTTCCGCCCGTCCTCTGAAGCCCGGAGATCTGTACGCCGGCTGCCGGCAAGCGGCCTGCTGCCTGCAAGCGGCCTGCTGCCTGCAAGCTCCCGCCTTCCGTCGTCTCGGGCCCGAGCTCCGCCCCCACCCCGGAGCCACGCCCCGCACCCTGGAGGCCCCGCTCCGCCCACAAGAGCTCCTTCTTTAACCCTTGGAGCCTGGGTTAGCAGAGCTGAGTGGTGCCCGCCCTGCAGGGCTACTCTTGAGGTGCTCTGCCTTGGCACGCGTTACGATCACCAGGAGGACTTTTGAAACTACTCATGCCCAGGCCACAACCTGAGCTGATTACATTAGAACGTCTGGGGGGCCGACCAAGGCATCAGTGGTTTTTAAAGCTCCCTGATGATTCCAGTGTGCAGCCAAGTTTGAGAACCACTGACCTTAGAGCGTTTACCAGCTACCTAAGCCAGTAGTTCCCAAGGAGCAGGGAAGAACTTGGAAGGTGAAAGAACACCTACAGATTATGGCATTGAGCCAGTTTTTTTTAGAGAGGACATGGTGACAAAAGCTGATATTTGAGAATTTGAAGGCAGCAAGAAGGTGGAAGTGCACACTGCTCAGCCTGGAGGCGTGGAAGGAGCACTGCCTTGGAGAGCAGATCTCAGCTTTGCAACCCCCCAGAGTCCTATCGCTAGGCTCCCTGACTTGATTGGGCCCTCAGGAAGTGATGACTCACTTTAACCGTGGTTTGCCTCAAAATTACTTACCCTTTCCAACAGCTGGTGAAAGAATCTTAGGACTTGTTTTAATCCTGATTCAAATAAACCAACTGTAAACAATAATTTTTGAGACAATCAGGGAAACATGAATATTGACTGGGTATTGGATGATAAGCAAAAAAAAAAAGTTAACTTTTTTTCAAGTAGGATAATGTTGTAGTTACCTAAGAAAAATGTCCATAATTTTTAGATATGCATATAGAAATGTGGAAGGGTGAAATGGTATGATGTGTGGGGTCTGCTTTTAAAAGCTTCAGTTAAGGAAAGAAAAAAGGAGGCGGGGGAGAGGGGAAAGACAAGCAAAAGTGGCTAAATCCTGATAATTGTTCCATTTGAGTGATGTGAGTGAAGGGGCAATGTACCATCTATTCTACCCTTGCGATTGAGATATTTCATAACATATTCTTGGAAACTGAGTATAGCAGCTTGAAAGCTTTGCTTCTGTCCTTTTTGCCTCCTGCCTTACTAGGCCTTATCTCTAGCACCAGATGACTATTTACTCCCACAAAGCTCCGCCCCTATATAATTTGCTTTAAGTCTAAGGCAGCCAAGAACGAATCAATTTAAAAAAAAAAAAAAAAAGTGGGGGGAGGGCACTGGGCAGTGTTTCCAAAGCCCTCTGAAGCTCACTAGCCACTTCCTTTCTGAACTTTTAATATTTGTGGGAGACTATGGGAGAGGAAAAAAATTCTGGGGGCCTGGGATATGTAGACCCCAGGGCCACTTGCCTCTGGAATCAGAGTTCCTAATGGCAAATTTCAGTTTTACTCCATATGTAGAGAAAATGAGACGATTCTCCAAATTTTAAGATGATCTGCCCCCAAAAGAACAAATGAAGAGCAGGGAGGGGACTCTGGTGGCTGAAATTCACCGGCTGTGTATAAGACGAGCAAATCTGCACTGGGATGAAGCCTGCACCTCTGGGGCTTATCTCTGCCCCTCCACTCCCAGCAGCCCCTGGCCAGGCCCCACTGGCATTAGGCTCCCAGAGCCCAAGATGAGGGTCAGGGAGACTGAAGAGGCCAAGAAACCTGAACATCCTGCCTCAGAGGCTAAGTCCTTAGGCGGCAGGCACTCCATCCATCATCTGTGTTAAGCTGCCTGCCCTGCATTGCTGCCCCAAGCACACCATTTCCAGCCCTAGGTGCTGCCCTGCTTTCCCCAGCGCACAGCCTCACACACATAGGTCACCAAGCACTGGTGGCTTGGGTACCACTAAGAGATTAGGATCCTAGTTTGTCTTCTCCCATACTCCTCTCCATATTATAATTTTGAATATGGCATTCTAACCTAAAACTTAAACTTATAAATCATTAAACTTAGTATGTATGAATTGACTTGTGTCCCCCCAAAAGATATGTTGGAGTCCTAACCCCCAGGTCCTATGAACATGACCATATTTGGAAATACGGTCTTTGCAATGTAATCAAGACGTCATTCTGGAGTAGGGTGGGCCCTAATCCAATGACTAGTGTCCTTAAAAATACAGATGCCAATTTGGGGCTTCCCTGGTGGTGCAGTGGTTGAGAGTCCGCCTGCCGATGCAGGGGACACGGATTCGTGCCCCCTTCCGGGAAGATCCCACATGCCGCGGAGCGGCTGGGCCCGTGAGCCACGGCCGCTGAGCCTGCGCGTCTGGAGCCTGTGCTCCGCGACGGGAGAGGCCACAACAGTGAGGCCCGCGTACCGCAAAAAAAAAAAAAAAAAAAATGCCAATTTGGACAAAGAGACACACGGGGGAGAAAGCATTGTGAAGACAGAGACAGAGATTGGATTGATGAACACCAAGAATTGCCAGCCACCATGGAATTAACTGGAAGAGACAAGGAACCATCTTCCCCTAGAGCCTTCAGAGAGTATGGCCCTGCAGACATCTTGATTTCAGACTTGTAGGCTCCAAACTGAGAGAATAAATTTGTTAGAAGCCACCCGATTTGTGGTGGTTTGCTGTGGCAGCCCTAGGAAACTAATGTAATGCACCAGAAACATATGCTCATTTAACCCTTGCCACCACCCTGGGAGGTAGGAAATATTACTATCCCCATCCCCTGGGAACAATTTCAAATGTGTCTAAGTAGGTGGAGAGCCAGCCTTTTAACCTGGGCCGCCTGGATCACAGCCCATGTTCTTAACCAGGAGATCAAACTTCCCCCTTCTGCTGTTTGGATAAAACAACAGCCCCTTCCTAAGCTTGAAAGTTGATAGAACCCACTAGAATGGCTACAATAAATAAAACAGACAATAACAAGTGTTGAGGAGGGTGTGCGGAAATCAGAACCCTCACAAACTTCTGGTGGTGATGTTAAATGGTGCTGCCACTTTGCAAACAGTCTGGTAGTTTCTCAAATGGTTAAACATAGTTACCACACGATCCAGTAATTCCACTCCTAGGCATGTACGCAAGGGAAATGAAAATATATGTCCACACAAATGATTCATAGGTGAATGTTCATAGTGACAATATTCGTAAGTGCCAAAAAGTGCTAACAATTCACACATTCATCAACTGATGAATGGATAAATAGGCACACAATAGAATATTATTAGGCCGTAAAAAAAGGATAAAGTGTTGAACATGCCATATCATGGATGAACCTCCAAAACGTTATGCTAAGTGAAAGAAGCCAGATACAACAGACTACATAGTGTATGACTATGTAGAAAGTGCACAGAAAAGGCAAATTATTTATAGACAGAAAGCAGTTCAGTGGCTGCCTGGGCTGTGCTGGGGCTGGGAACGAGGGTTAGTTGTAAATAAGAGATCTTATTGGGGGCAGGGGGGGTGACTGTGTTCTGAAACTGATTTATGGTGATGGCTGCACCAGTCAGTAAAGTTACTAAAAAAAGCACAGAATTGTCTATTTGGAATGGATGAATTGTATATATATAAAATAAAGCTATTTAAAAAAATTTTAGGTTTGAGGACCTATACAGATCAAGAGTCAGCCACCTTAGACTATTTTGTTAATTTAGAGCGGAGTTGTGGCACTTGAGGTTTTTCAATGATAAAGTGCTTCACTTTATTTATCCAACTTTAGCTGCAGAAAAAAGCCAGAGTAACTTGGAGTTGAAACAGTGCAGGAGCCAAGATCAAACAATATTATTTGGACACTTAGGGGCCAGGAAGCCACTGCCCCGCTTCTGCGGAGCCTCTGAGAAGTCGATGAGGAACCAATGAAGTCGTGACATCTGTTCTTCCTCATCCTAACATCACCTCAGAGGCAGTCTTCAGCCTGGTGACAGTGACTCCTCTCTCAGCAGATCCAGCCTGGCTGCTGGAACTCCTCCGCCACTGCAGGCGGCCCACAGCATCCCTGGCGCTGCACTGCCCAAGAGCAGATCCAAAGAGGCACTGTGGTGTAGTGGGTGGCTGAGCAGAGACACCGGACAGAGCACTATCTGGAAATGCCTTTTCAAGTAGCCTTGCAGGGTATGCAAACCTTTCTCCTAACGCCCCAATATGATGTCCATGTCAGTGACTCCTCTTCTGGGCTTGAGTCGGACCCACCTATTCTCTTCTTGAGCTGGGTAACTGAAGGTGACGTGTTTGCCTGCCTCTCCAGATAGGACTTCGTCCGACTCCAGGGTAGTGAGTTGAAGAGGTCCTTGGCAGAAAACAGGCAGGGCAACAGATCCCATCTCTGCCTGGTCCTGGCTCGGTCAGGACTGCAGGCCCATCTTGGCCATCATCCCTTCGTAGACTGTCCACGCCATGGCTGCCATCAGAGTTCTGCGGAGGGCCCGGGGGACGCCGCCTTGGAAGAAGCCACGCAGCCCATAATCCTAGGAGGAAAATGGAGGCCAAAACTCTGGGACTAAAGCAGCAATACACTTATATACCTGGCATGAGAGTGAGGATCTCTCTCTGCGTTACCCCATTGTTAAGTCTTACTTTTTAGACTTTTATAAATAATGTTAAAACTACGAATACTGGGTCCAAGGAGGCAATTAACTAAAAAAAAATTTTTTTGGAGTAGTTGCTAAGCTTTATCTTTTTTTAGGCTTGCTCCATCCAGGGGAATTTCTTTCTTAGCTGAAAATCTTACCATTTTCACATATACTGAAGACTCTATTTTCAAACTTCATGATTTTAGGTATAAAGAATAAGAAAGCAGGCAACCTAAGCAGTGTGATGAATATGATCAGTTTCACAAATACTTGCTTATATCTAGGATAAGGCAGATACTTGCTGCAGATGCTTATATGTTTCCTGTGCTACATACAAAAATTGAGAAGTACAGAAACATCTAAAGATCTAGATGACAAATTTACTTTCAAAAAGAATATCTGATAACAGTACATGTTTCCAAAGGGCTTACTCAGTGGCTTTTAAATAGCATTTTAGTGTACTTTACAATTACTGTACTTTTTATCTTCAATACCATCTGTCCATTTGCATTAGTGCAAACTCCTGGAAACAAAACAACGTGCTTGTGATTTTTTTCTAACTACATTTTCTCCTATATCCTTGATTAGGTTAAGGAGTCCTCCCAGATCTCCTGACTAGGTAGGTCTGGGGTAGAGCCCAACAATATGCATGTTTAACAAATATCACATGTTGTCCTAATGTCAGGCTCCCTCCCTAAACAAACAAAACCAAAACAACAACAACAACAACAAATCCCACAACCATAGATTTTTAGCAGTGATTCTCAACCTTGGCAACACACTGGAATCACCAAGGAACTTAAAATACTGATGCCAGGGTTTCATCTCCCCCAGAGATTCTAATATGATAAGCCCAGGTTATGAGCTGGGAATCGGGATTGTTTTAAAAGCTTCCCAGGTGTTTCTACCATGTAAAGGATAAGAGCTACTGCCTTAGAGAGAAAGCCTTAACCACAATATGAACCAATATTTATTCTAAAGCCTTACTTTGAAAATGAGTGTCACTGCCTGGCCAATCCACCGAAATTTCATTGGGGAGAGCTGCATGTGAGTTTTGATAACATCTGCAGGTTGAGTTACCAGTGAGGCCAGAATCCCAGCAAATATCCCACAACTGAAATTTACAACGGGAACAAGGACTGCATCCAACTGGTCTGAAACAGGACAAAGGCAACATTCAGTTATAAATAAATCCCACATTCATCAGATAAATATCCATGCCAAGTTGCCCACTAATTCTTCCTGAAAGCCAGAAGGGTCTGGATTCAAACAAGGCTAAGAATTCAAAATCTAAACTAATCAGTGTAAGTAGGATAATGGAAAAGTTCACCTTTTTACAACCATCAGCATAATTGATTCAGGCAAGAGTCATTCACTGATGCTAAAATATATGGATGAAAGGACAGGAGGTGTTATATAGATTTATATAGATTCAAAGTATCTCCCCACAGAGACGCTTAGAAATTACAAAAGAACAAACAACTGAGTTTTCAGTGGAGACACTATTTTTATAGTGATAAAAAGTTAACATCACCCACAGTGCGTCAAATGGATGTCATGAGCTTCCTGATATAAGGCACTGAAGACACGACCTCAGTTATGTACTCCTCTTGCTAAAAAGGTATAAATGAATCTAGTTGAAAGGAAACATCAGGGAAACCCACACTGAGGTTATATAACTGGCTTATACTCTTGAAAATAAAAAATAAAAATTGCTACAAAATACATTATTGGGAAAATTGGAGAAATCAAGACTATAGATGAAAGAACTATCGATGGTTATACAAGAATGCATTTGTCCTTAGGAAGTACACACTGATGTATTTAAGGGTAAAGAGGCATCATGTCTGCAACTTATTCTTAAATGTTTTGAGGAAAACAATTATACACACAGAAAGAGAATAATGAGCTATGGATTTATAGGTACTATTCTTGTGGCTTTTTTGGTAAGCATAAAATGATTTCTAAATACCAAAGTAAAAAAAAATTTTAGGATGGATGAAGAAGTTAAAAATGTATATCCAAGCCCCCTTATTGCCTTAACTTTCTCCTGTAAGGTAAGGCTGTGATCTGCAGTGTCACGCCTCCTGGCGCCTGCGGAGAAGCAGCAAATCTCCCAAAGCACTCCAACTGACACCACTGTCACGCGGGTGGCATTCTGGCTTTCCCAATTAAACGACTTTGGTTGCAATTCCTTGCTCACATTATCCATAGACACCTTACTGAATGCAGGTTCACTTTATAGGATGTGTTTCTATCAATGCCTGGCTCTGCTTGGGTGGATGTTTACTGCCTGTCGATTTTGCCCATGTCTTGACAACACGAGCTTACTGGAAGGGTGGGCCTGCCAGAATGCTAGGGCTTTGGCATCTTTCTCTCCATCCAAAAGGAGGGCTCAAAACAATGTTAACCAGGAGCACAGCAAGGGACATGAAAATATTTTTCTTCTAGCTCCTAACCAACTGGATTTCCCAAACTTGTCTGATAAGAATCACAACAAGTGCTTCTTGCAGTCTCTAAGGCCTTACCCCAAAGCTTCTGATTTAGGATGCCTTGGGTAGGACCCAGAATTCTTAAGATCAGGCAAATGTGGGAAGTATTGCTGCAAAACCTATGCAAAATGAGCTTTATCCTACCCCCTCCCGACTCAAGAATTACATACTATCAGTAGTCTGCCTCAGGAAGCTACAAACTCAAAAGGGCAGGGACCATGTCTTCATGGCCGCCCTTGCATCCCAGCACCGGGTCCCATGCCTGACACAATGCAGATATGGCTCGGTTTCTAAAACTAGCATAAGAATCTGGAGCTGCTAAGAACAACGAATAGTCTCCTATCTTAGAGAAAGTGGTGAGGATGTGATCTCTCAAGGGATATCTCTTCCCACCACACCTTCCTTTACCCGTACCATGAAGCACAATGTTTTTGGTCTGGTTGTAAAACATCAAGTAGATTCCGGAAAAGGGAGCATCACGAAGGAGCGTTGCTGTCAGGCCACTGAAGAGACCCCGGTACCCCTCGCTGTGATAGATGCTCCTCAGGGCCGCGTAGATGCTCTCATAGCCGTACCGCCCGCTCTGCAAAGGAAGCATAGAACCAATGGCTGGCACAGTGGCCCTGGGTTTGCGCACTGAACGAAGCCATCCTCAGGGTGCGTTACCGGAGCTCTGGACGCTCTGGTTTGCATGTGCTTGGCCTGACTACACAGATGAGTTCTCCGACCACATCAACCCTGTGTTAGGTTATAAATCGGGAGGTGGCGTCAGTGGCCACTTGACTCAAGAGCCCGGTGTCTCTGGTTGCCCACTCACCTCGTACCGTGTCTTGATCACAGTGATGGGTGACATGCAGACCCCCGCGACAGAGCGGGAGCCCACCCCCAGTATGACTGACTCCAGGGCGGTGGGGGGATGGCCTCGCAGGAAGTACTGCTTCAAAGAGTAGAGAGTGCCAAAGTAGATTCCAATGCCAGGGACGCACCTCACGATGGACTGCACAACGAGTCGGAGGGAGGAACGGAATCAAACACCAACACGTAAGATCCTGGCTGAGCTGGATTTCCCCAAAGACGACCCAGGATTCGCATGCAAGGAGTCGATTTAAAGTGTGGAGGGAACACCAGTGGGAGGGTAGGGAAGTGAGATGGGAGAGAAGGCAGCCAACAAAGAGTGTGTCATCTCATCAGTTATTGCCATGGGCAACAGAATCTTTCTGGGGAACTCTGGGAATCAGTGTCCATGCCTAGGTTACCCTGCCACCTGAGGAGGGAAGGGAAGTTTTAAACATCAGCTCTCGTCTTTCATTGGTTAAGGGCTGCTGCGGGGTTGGGGTGAGTATGAATTCCCTGCCATTTCCAGCAAGGTGAGTTCCTAAGGCCAGAAAAAGCTGTCTAGGCGAAGAAATGCAGGTGTGGAGGCACTGGAGGCGTGAGGGCAAGGTCTGTTGACAGGTGGGGCGCCAGCTACCTCTGCTCTAGGACTTCATGCTGCACTAAGAAGTCGTGCCCGGGACGCACAGGTGTGCTATTCCCGGGGCCCTCAAATAGAAGCCAGCAACAGTGAGAGGGACGGGCAGGAAGACCAGAAGGGCCCTCCCACTACCTCCAACCTCACGTACCCTTAAGAGAGGAGGTGTGAGGTGGATGAGAGACGGCTAGTTATTAAAGGAGGGGGTGCAAGACAAGACCCAAAAGGCAGCTTACAGGGGACATCCCTTTCCAGAGGCCAAAAAGACTCTCCGTGCGAACCACATTCAAGAGCAGAGCCAACATCCCAACACGTCTGGATCTGAAGGCAGACAAAAAGGAGGCAAGGAAGGAGAAATCACTTAGACCACATCCCTGTGAAAGAACTCCCCACTCACAGACTTCTCTGTATGGACTCTTTTCTAGAACACTTAAGAATCTCTAAAAGGCACCCTGGAGTTACTCTGAGTTCCTATGCGTTCATGATGTGGCAGGTGCATGATTCTTTGTCCCTTCACACTGCAAGCAATGGGATAACTTCTCATTTTACATACACTCTGTGCACTTCCCACAGGGCTGAGCCCAATAGGGGGCACACAAGATACACTCAATACCTATCTTATTTCCAGAAAAACCACCCACTACTTGTGCCAGGCAGCACAGTTATGACATTACAGGCTGGCACAGTAAAATGCAAACGTCACCAAGACAGATCCCAGGAAGCTACTCAGGGAAGGACGCACTTAATTAAGAGAAATGTCAAATATAACAGAGTATATATAAAACACATGAAAGCTCGGCCTGGCCTGTGTTTCTCTTTGCTCATTCAACAGAATGGAAGTTGACTGAACACAGTAAAGATGCTCCAGTGTCTGAGAGAAGTTGTTGAAACCAGGTCCTCAGTGAAAAGGGGGGGAGGGGGCGGGGGAACGGGGCAGCTGGCCTTACCCACGGGCTGAGGGCTGGAGGGTCTGCAGGCGTGTTTTGAGGAGATCCAGGGGTTGGAAAAGGAGGGTAGAGCAGGTCCCACTGATGGAGCCACACAGGAAAGCTTTGATCACGGGCTGTAACTGCAGGGCAAGAGAACACTGTGTCAGCAGCTTTGTCCCAGCCTTCACCACACCTGGACCAGTCAGTTCTCTGTAAGGATCTCTTAGAAACTCACCTGGTGGCGGCGCCCTGTATTAGCATCAGACTTCACAGAAGGGAAAAGCATAGCCAGGAACGAACAGTGTTGGAATGTTGTTGAGAACACAGTATACTCCAAGAGGTAGCTCTCTGGTCTTACTGATAACAACTTTAGTAATTACTGATAATTAAAAACTTATGGATAACTTTGCTCCTACTGAGCAACACGGTAATTTCCATCTGTGAATTATGCCACTGACCACACCTCCCTACTTGTCTTGATGGTAAGTTATAGGCCAACTCCTTCTCGTCACGAAAGCAAAAATCAGTTGAACAGTGTTTTAACTCTGAACTGCTGGTTTCAGGTTCCCTTGGTTGTAGGGCCTGCAGGCTATTACAGGAGTAAGACAAAGGAAGTGAAACCATAAGTGAGCAGGTACAATGTGAAACGTCTGTGCCACTTCCTGTAAAACCCATGCATTTACTTAATGTACAACTTTCCCCGTCATATACCCATTCGTCTCACTGGGACCTAAACAGATCGCAGGGGCACCACAAGGCCAGCAGCCACTCCTGGGTTTGCTGGCTGTCCCCTAAGCCGGGAGAGTCACACACACTGTCTAATCGAGAGGCGGCATCCAGAAGGGCAGGACTGCCTCGCAGACTGACTGCGTTTCCCCCAAGCGCACTCCAGAGGCCCCACGGCACGCCCCAGAATCCAGACGCAATCAAATGGTTGTGAAAACACACTTTTAAAAAATCCAAGCAGGAAACAAATGTCCTCTTTTCCAAAGGAGGCACTTGGCAAACTCCATCCAAAGATCGTCTCTCTTCTCATTAAATGGCATTTGCACTATTACTTTTTAATAAATGGCATACTATAGTCCTAAAATGCTATTAAGATGAAGTTGCCTGTTATACACGTCAAAAAAACTACCTACCCGGAACCAAAATGTTTGTCATCTGTGGTATTTGTTTCACAGAGAAGAGAGATTATTCCACGTTTCACCAAAAGAGCAAGTCTCAATTTATAACTGGAATTCCTTAAAAGGACTTAATAAGTTCAGATAATAAATACTGGAGCTTATAACCACGTTCAAATAGCCTTCCAAGCATCAAAGGTAAGACCACTACTACAACCAAGCCAGCTGGGAACAGCTTCATCAGATGTGTGTCCTGCTCCTTCTGCTAACACATATTCCCACGAATTTTGTTTCTCAGCCTCATCCGAACCTTTGTGGCATCAGTGAGCCTCTCTTCCCTGCATACTCAGCCTCTTACTTCCACTGACATCTTCTCCTTTGTCTGGAACAAGCTTGAAAGCCCCCCATATTTCCAGCCTGATGCCACATCATCTCCGCTCCCTCTTCACTAGTCACACTTCAGGTTCCCCAGTCTGCCATCCAGATAAAGCCCCTCCACTAAAGCTGCCTCACCAAGGACCTGCCATATCCCAGGACCCCTTTCCCATCTGTGGCCTTCTCTTACTTGGCCTCTCTGGTGCATTTGAAACAGCTGATCGCCGCTCCTCTCTTTTTGGTTTCTGGCTACCCTTCTCAGCCTCCTTTCCCCAGCCACAGATGTTGCTGTTCCTCTTATCTCCCCGTAGCTGCAGCCTCTCAGGGCACCCTCACCTCCACACCACACCACACCATGCTCGACGCACACATGCCACATGCCGGCAACGCCCACACCTCCAGCCCACTTCAGCCTCTCTCCCGAGTCCACTGTCCCCATGCTTCCCCCACCTCCCCTCGCATGGCCTGTAGGCATCTCAAACTCAACATCCCCTAATGGAAACTCTGTCCACGGTTCTCCACACGCTTGCCTCTCCTTCATGTCCCAGCAGGACATTTGGGAGACGAATAAGACCCCTTGGTCTACCTACTGTTTCAAGACCAACTCCTACTGATGACCCCTCATTCCTCCCAGAGCCTGCCCCCCACTGATCCATCCTAGTGATCTCCTTGGGGGTCTCCAGCCTCAGCAGTGCCAACCCCCACTACCAGATCAGCCTGGGGTGAGGCATCCATATACAGCACCTCGAAATCTCACAATGCTCCTAAGAGCTAGATGTTCAAACCCATTTTCCAGATGAAACTGGAGCTCACAGGGATGACAATGTATCCTAAGTCACAGGGTTTGAAGCCATTGGATAAGACTCAAAGTTCATGCTTTTTTCACCATTCCTCCCAGTCTAAGTGACAGTCCAGGGCACTTCCCAGGCAGCTTAGCAGCGTTCTCCTGTTGGCTGTTGACCACCACCAGCTCCTTCTGGAAATGTGCTCTGCCTCCGGCTTCTGGGATTAACACTGTCCTGATCTTCCTCCCACTTCCCCGGCCTCTCTGCCTTCACATGCAGAGCCTCTTCTTTTCCACCCTTTTGTCCACACTTGCAAGCTGTCTTCTGCAGACTCCCATATCCACTTAATCCGATGTCCCACAGGCACCACGGGTTGACATTTCCAAACCTGAACTCATCTTTCTTCCTCACCCGCCACGTGCCTCTCCTCCAGGGCGCTCCATCCCAGTGAACACCCTGCCATTGATCTACCCTAACCCCACACTCACGTTCAGTGCTCCTCTTCAGTGCTTCCACGGTGCCAGAGTCCACCTGCCTTATGACCGAGGGTCAAGGACAGAGGAGGCCTGGACTGTCCTGTTCATGGTGGTTCCTCCAGCACTGACCACGGAGCCTGGTCCACAGCAGGTGCTCAACAATCAAGAATGAATGAATCAGGGACTTCCCTGGTGGCGCAGTGGTTAAGAATCCGCCTGCCAATGCAGGGGACACGGGTTCAATCCCTGGTCCGGGAAGATCCACATGCCGCGGAGCAGCTAAGCCCGTGCACCACAACTACTGAAGCCCGCGCGCGTAGAGCCCCTGCTCTGCAACAAGAGAAGCCATCGCAGTGAGAAGCCCGCTCATTACAACGAAGAGTAGCTCCCGCTCGCCGCAACTAGAGAAAGCCCTCGCACAGCAACGAAGACCCAACGCAGCCAAAAAAAAAAAAAAAAAAAAATGAACGAATCACTTCATCTAACAGGAAATCTGCACATGGCTCTCCCTTGAGCACAATCCCACAGGATAAAGCTTAGAGGGCCCCGCAGGCCACATCCCTGGACAGGGGACTCTCCCCTGGCTCCCCCCAGCTCTTTGCTCCAGTAAGGCTGTAGGAATGGCCTGCAGTTACAGCTTCTAAGCAGTTCTCTTTGGAGCTGCCTCTCTAATGCTCTCACAGGTTGTGTGTGGAACTACTGTATACTGCTCCCCAACACCCACCACACTGTCCTCCATTGCAGGAACTATTTTCTTAATGTTTCTATTTTTACAGCACATTGCTTGAACATTTTATTGGCTAAATAAATATTTGTGGATACATGCATAGAGCCCATAACTTTTTTAACTTTGTAATTTTCCAGGTCCATTAGCATAGAACAGATGCAAAATATAAAACAGCAGTATAGATTAACCTCTGATAGTTAAAAAAAAAAGCAAAACAAAACAGGTAACATAATTGTTTTAAAAAAAATAGAATTTACACTTTTCATTTTTAAGATATTGTCAATGGTGGATGGCATACCCTTTAAGGCATGCTTGATTTTTTTTTTTTCCTAAACAGCCCAAATTTATTCAAAGTAAATAAAACGAGTAATACAGCTGGCTTCTTTGTTTATTTGTTTGTTTTTTGAGGGGGGGTAGGGCAGAAACAACCAAACAATGATACATAGATACATAAAGGCAATCAGCAGCACTTGAATAGTTAGCAAACAGGTTCCACAAATAACTCCTACTCCCCTTTAAAAAAAACTATATCCTAAATCCAATTCAGATCTCCAGGCCAGAGCTGGAGGACCCAAAAAGAAATATGTAAGCACATGTTATAAGATGTAAACGTAGGGCGGTCCCCGCCTCCACCTTTGTTAAAGATAAAAAACAAAACAAAACAAAAAACCCCACACCCCTGCCCTGCCCCCGGCGCAGGTGGGCCGTGTCCTTGACCTCAGGTAGAAAAGTAGCCGCGGCCAACTGTCCCTCCCGGCCTAAAGCGAAGCCGCATCCCCGCCTCCACCCACCGCTAGCAGCAACTCAGCCAGACCTTCCTCGCCGGCCCAACCCAGCCTTCGCCTCCACCAATGGCAGCCCCGCGGCACGAACATGGCAGCCGATCCAGGCGCGGGAGGGGCGTGGCCTCGTGGCGAGGGCAAACCTCACCGGTTCCCGGGAGGGTCCACCTGGTCCAGCCCGCGGGCGCTGTGCAGCCCTAACCCACCTCGCTCGAGCAAAGATCGCTCCTTAGGCTTAGCGTTATTGCCGGGCTTTGCAATGGTCCAAATATCTACCCAGGTGTCCTCCCACCTGTCATTCTAGGCATCCAACTCAAAGCAACGTCCCGTAGCGCTCGCACCTCGCTCTGGACCACGCGGGCACATTCCCCCCCGACACCGGCCAAGGCCCTGGCAATTCCGCCTCCCTCTACCCGGATTACCAATACAGGAGCGAGACCTTTGCTTGCCTGTCCCAAGGACTGGACTGCAACTTCTCTCCTTCCTCCCTCCCTCCCCTCTTTTAATTCCCTAGTCAAACTCCATCTCTGCCGCCACGTCCCCAACCGGTTATGCGCGCAACCCGGAGGCAGAAAAGGTTCCCCGAGGGCCGCTGACCCTCGGAAACCTTCCGAATTTCCCTCCCCGAGCCGGCAATGCCGGAACCCCTGCCTTCCCTTCCCCGCAGGTTACCATAAGCGTTTCCACCCTGTCTCCGACATCTTGAGGCTGCAGCAGCGCCGGGCGTGACTTCTGAATCATTGGAGGGGAGACCTGCGACTGCACTGGGCCCGGGGTGCCGTCGGTGGGAGCTCAGGCCCGGCCCTGACGATTCTAGAGAAGACGACGCGATGGCGGTAGCCGGGCGACGCGTTCTACCGCGGGGCTTCTCTGCAGTCTGCGCTGGTCGGGGGTCGGGACCTGCGCGCCCACCGCACATGAGTGGCTCCAGGCGCCGCTCTTCACTAGCTCAGCAGACTGCGAGGCTCTGCGACCCTGCCCATCCTGTTCCGTCACCGTCTTCAGGACTTGAGAGTATTAGACAGAGTGCATCCGGGAGTGGAGAAAGCCGGAGGAACTAGATATAACGGCGGAATTTAGCTTCCGGGGTTGGACGCGGGTCGCGCGCTGGCGAGGGTGTGCTCCTTAGTGCTACCTCGTGGAGACCTCCGGAACTGCAGGATCGGGGCTTCCCTGCGCCCGGAGCTGCATCGGGCGTCTGCAGGGAGGTATGCTTCTGGGCGCTACGTCTGAAGGTAGTTACAGTCCAGACTCGCTCTGCCCAATGCGGTAGCCAGTAGCCAACTGTGGCTATCAGGCACGTGAAGTGTGGCTAGTGTGACTGAAGACCAGAATTTTAAACTTGATTTAATTATAATTAGTTTGTATTAAAACCCGAAGCAGTGTGGAATATTTTTCCATTAAACACAACTTTATTGTCTTGGCAGATCCACATTTCCCTTTAAACGCTGAAAATTTCGTGCCAGAAATGTGCTGTAAGTTATCCACACGCTGGATTTCTAAGACATGACAATAAGATAAAATAATCTCATGAATAATTTTTACATTATTACATGTTGAAGTGATATTTTGGGTATATTGAATTAGGTGAAATAATTATTAAAATTAATTTTATCTCTGCTTTTTTCATATGACTACTAGAACACAAGATTACACTTGTTATCCTGTGATAAACCATAATGGAAAAGAACATGAAAAAGAATATATGTATGTAAAACTGAGTCACTTTGCTGTGCAGCAGAAATTAACACAACATTGTAAATCAACTATACTTCAATAAAATTTTTAAAAATTGCACCTGTGGCTCGAACTACTTTTCTACTGGACAACACTGGCCTCCCAGAGAGGTGAATGGGTGTGTTATGATGGCCTCTATCCTACAACTTATAGAGGCTCCTCTCCATGAGAGCATCCCCTCCAACCCCAAACACGCAGCCTTAAGAGTCTCCCAGGGTAGGCAGTGCCCTCAGCAGTGTGGAAAGTCACCCTCTGTGCCCGGTCACAAGGATGGGCACAAACAGGAGGAAAAAAGAATTCTAATGGCCTTACCAGAAGCTTTGGTGAAGAGGACGGTCCTGTCACTGCTTTGGGCTTCACAAGAGAGAAACACCTTTCTTCCTTCCACGCCAGTGACCTTTGCCTCCAGCCTCACCACTGAGCCGAGGGTGAGTGGTCTAGGAGAGAGCAGTGGGGGAGAGCGGCTGGTGGGCTGGTCTCCTGAGAAAGGGAGGGATGACCCCGTGGGAGGATGAGGCTGCCGGAGTGGAGGTCCTGGATTTCTACTCCAAGGTATCAGGGGCCCTTGCATTTGTCACCTGCTAGCTGTGTATTCACCTCAGCTACTTCATCTGTCAAGTTGGAGATAATGGTACCGACCTCCCAGGATTATAGTAAAGATCGAACAAAATAATGTGTGCGTGTTTCGCAAGAGACTAATCAAATATCAGGAATTATCATTTCAGTAGGGGCCCAATAATTATTTGTGGACTGAAGTAAATATTTACAGGCACATGGGCTGGCTTTCTCTAAATCGGAGGCAGCCAAAAGTAGTTCATCATCATCCTATGTAGAATATCTTTATGTTGGAACACATAACCCATCTTCAAGCTTATCACCTTGTCCTTGGATGAAAAAGGAACATCTAACAAGTTTAGATTGGTCCATGAGAAAAGCAAAAGTAGAAACTCCTCTTTGCACTCAGGATTGCTACATGAGCCCGCATCTTCCATCGCAACACATGGAATAACCCCATGCCAGCTTACTCCTAACTTGAACCCAGGCAAGGAAACAGACCTCTTGAAGGTGATGGTCATGGTTCCTGTAAAGACTGCATCGGCACTGTTGTACACCATCATGAAAAACGTGTCTGTCATGGTCCCCAGTGCTCCACCATGGATAACCCTGCAGGGGCAGACGAGGGGAGAAAGGGAAAGAAAGAGTCACCCAGGACTCCACTCCGCACGGCGAGGTTCCAGTGAGGTGACATGCTGAAGGGTTCCCTGCAATCCAGAACAAGATTCTTGCATTGCTCAGGGTAGAGCAGAGACCTGAGAGCAAAGAAATGCAGGGGAAGCAAACAAGGCTGTCTGAAGCAAGTTACACCTGCTTAGAAGAGAATAAATTAAAGCAGAAGAAACTCCCCACCCCACCACCAGCTCCAACCACAAAGTCTGATGAATCTATTTTTCCCTCTTGGGTTGGTCTCAGGGGGAACTAGAAAGGTGCAGTGAAAACAGCATGGGCTTTGCAGGCAGAGAGACCTAACTCTAAATCTCACATTTCTAGCCATGTGACCTCAGTCAGAGAACCACTTGGGCCATCTGTTTCTTCATCCGTAAGATAGGAATATCTCCTAAGAATTTCTGTGGGCATTAAATTAAGACAGCCAAATCTCCACGTGCAGGGTCTGGTATATACTGGCCACTGAACAAGAATAGTTTTTCCCCCTTCTTATTTCCAATGTCCACTGCTTACTCCACTGCCATTTAGGAGGTTCAGGAAGTCCCTAACAGGGAGAAGCTACACCTCGGGTGGGTGACTGAGGGGCTGGCAGAGCCTCCCTACCCAGGGAGTTAGTAGAATAAAGCTGCAGTAACCAAGAACCTGCTGAAGGCAGCCATGGACCCACCAACTGGCCTCTCACCCCCACCCCTCCCCGCTCTTTGACCAAGAAAAAGCCCATTTGAGCTGCTGGCTGGGATGGCTCTCTGTGCCTCACCCAGGCAGCCCCTCCAGGAGGGGCTCAGGCTGGAACAAGCAGATGCATTTCTTCTCCGAGGCACCGTGGAAGATGACGTACTCAAAGCCGAGTTTCTTCATCTCTGTGATCCAGAAGAAGTGGCGGGTGTCTTCTACCATTTGGACTGGAGAGTAGAGTCGGTGAGAAAGACGTCGGGCTGGAGTCTGACACTTGGGACGGTGCGGTCTCCAGGGCAGAAAGCATCCAACCAGAGGAGGTCCTCAGGAAATGCACTGCCCTCAGCTTCCCATCCGCACCCCCCGGGATGGCCCCATAAACCTCTGAAGGAGACGAGCAGCTTCCAAGGAAGGGATGAGATCAGCAGTGTGAGGGACAGTGAGGGGTGAACTGCCTGTGAATTTGGGACACCGGTGTTCCTATCAACTGAATAATAAATACTAATCTGAATGCATTGATTGTGGCAGATCAAGGAATAGGCAGGAAAAAGTCCTTTCTGTAAATTAAATATATATGTCCCCTCTCACTGCCACAGGTCTGAGATTTCAGAGAAATTTGTCTATACAGTATGACTTGAATTGGGGATAATTTAGAGGACTTAATTAGAGGTAAAGCCTCCAATATATAAAATCCAAGACTTGTCAAACACCTGCATTTTTACCAAGAATCTCAAAGCAGAATTTCGAATGACAGCTTAGGTATATAAAATTAGAAGACTTCGGCTGGCTCCTGTCTCTGCAATGCGGCATCCGGTCTTTGTTTTCCATCTGATGTCCTTCACTGGTTCAAGAGCTCAGCTCAAACTGACCACTAGAGGGAGCATGAGTCCAGTCCATAACAGGTTCTGGCTTCTCGCCTCAGGGGTCAGTAAGATACTGCCCCCTGGCTGCATCACTGAGCTTCAGACCCTGTGTGTACCAGGGTGAAGGCACTGGTCCTTAATCCCAGGCACTGCCTCTTCCCAATTCCTCACTGAGACTGCACCTGTCTGGTCTACAAGAGAGGATGGGGCTGGCAGGTATAAGGAGATGCCAGGGTGACTGCAGACACGGGTGGAGAGAGCACTGCCCCAGGAGTCAGGAATTCCTGATTCTAGTCCAGGCTCTGCCAAAAACTCACTTCATCACCTATCTAGGCCTCAGTTTTCTCTCTTGTAAAATGAGCAGGTTGAACAAGGTGGCCTCCACGTTCCTTTTCTGGCCTAATATTGTGTGAGTCTAGGATCACCATGCCCAGACTGCCTTGCACCTGACGCTCAGGCTGATGCAGCCCACCCAGGAGGTGCTGGAACTGGGCTGGGGCACAGAGCTCCTCGAGGAAAATGCACACACGTAAGCAAAGATTTGCCAACAGTCCTGCACTAACCAGAGCCCTGCTCGAGCCGAGGTTAAGTGCTGCTGATATAGGGATGTGAACTTACCAGGGACAGCTTTAGTGATCCTAGCTAAGTCTGCCTCTTTAAGGAACTACAAAGAGTGCAAATAACCTGGAAGTCTCGTCCCCGTCCCATCCACCATCTTCTCCATGTGTTCATTGTACAGCCTCACCATGATGGGGCTCCAGCTGGCGTTGGGTAGGGAATAATCCTTTGTATTGGAATGGAGGTGGCTACTTGAGACCTGGAAAATCCAAAAGAGGTAGCTGACTATGCCTGATCCAATTCCAGCTTGATTCTTTCATTTATGCATGTATTCAATAGATGGGACAGTTTTCACCAGGCAGAGCCTGTACAAATAAATGCCCAGAGATGAGAGAGAGCATGTTCCCAGAACTGTACAAGTGGAAAGGTCTAGTGGTAGGGAAGGGGGGCAAGGGAGGAGGTCAGAGAGAAAAACTAGGGCCCAAGCTGCCATGTTAAAGAATCTGGGCTTTATACAGAAGAGCTATAAGCAGGAGAATGAAATGGTCAGATTTCCTTGTTAGAAGGATTGCTACTTGCACATGGAAACCTGTAGTCTAGTCAAGCCTCAGTGACATTGGGAGCCTGGTTGATAAACAATTGAAAGACACGGTCTTTTCCCGGCCGTTTCCCTCTCCTGCTCCCCCATGTCCTCCAGGCTCTTCTCCCAACACAGTTCACCTTGGTTGACTCTCTGGTTTATTAGGCCTCTTTACTGTCCCATTACAGCTGGAGGCTCCACCAGAGACTCCCTTTTCCGGCAGACAGAGGAGAGGAGGACCAGGTC